CCGGGGGAGCGCCCGGCCGCCTCATTTAGCTCGTTACTGGCCGTGGGGATGCGCACAAAGCAGACGTTGCTCCTGCAGATTAAAAAGCTCTCAGCGCGGCCGCCCTCGTTACCGCTAATGCCTTCCCAGAAGTCCTTCACCCACGGTCCCCGCAGGCTGCAAACAGGCCCTAATGAGCCGGGCTGAGGGCCCCGCTCGGGAGCTGGCGTCAGCGGGGGGCTGCGGGCAGTGCGGACCGGGGACCTGATCCCCCCCGGGGATGGAGGAGCGGGGAGGATCAAGCCACCCATCAGCTCCTGCCATGGGAATGGGGCTGGATGGGGCACTCAGTACCAGGCCTGGGCTTTGGGAATGGGAATGGGAGTGGGAACGGGAACGGAGGGGCTGCCAAACCTGCCTCTGACCCGGGATGAGTCTTCATCCAGCTGTGCAGGGTGCTGGGCAGGGGGCTCCTGGCTGGATGTGTTTCCAGCTGCTGCCTGCAGCTGGAAAATTAACCCTTCTCATGTCTTATCCCCCTGTTCGCTTGCAGGGCTGAAGCCACCCAAGGACACGGGTGTTTCCAAACGGAGCCCAGCTGAGCCGCTAACCTGGGAGCGGGCAGGCTGGAGGGTGGTGGAGGGAGATGTTGGCGGGGAAGCAGAGGAGCTGGCAGCCCCCAACACGCTGGGTGCTCAGGCAATTAGCCACCCTCTGCGTGCGTCTAGGGATTCGAATGGAAAGGCGAGTCCTTTCTGGCTTCTGGCACCGAGGTTTGTAGCAAACAGCTCTCAGATCTGCTGCTGGCAGTACCGGAGGGGAATGCGGAAGCTCCGTGACCATCACCTCCCTCCACAGCCTCTTTTGGCTATTCGGGCCTGGCTACTCTTCGTGAAAGGCCCCTCCGGTGTGTTGGGGTCGGGTCCTTCTCCTGCTGGGGAGCTGGGTACTGTGGGTCCGTATCCTTTGGGGCAACTGTCTGTGTACACATGCCCACGCTGCTTTGAAACACCAAGAACAAGCACGTGGTGCGCTGGGCTGCTGCACTCGTAACGCACGTCCCCTGCAGAGATGCCGCCTCCATCAGTGCCAGGTCCCGCGACTGAGGCTGCATCGCACTGGCTGTAGCTCCTTCTGGGTTTCAGAGTGGCCCTTGAAGGTCTCGGCACCGAGAAGCTCAAGGAGCCACATATGATGGCTGTGAAAGCCAGTGTTGGGGCTGGGGAGAACGGTGCAGCCAGTTCTTTCCTTCCCACAGTGGAGGTGAGCACAGGATGCACAAGGGAGCTCCTCTGAGAGCACCTGGCTCTGGGGAGCGGCGGGTTTTCCTAAGGATGCATGAACGAGAGATGCAGTTAGCTCAGGTGGGAGCCTGCAGAACCTGCAGATGGCGAGTGGTGAGGAGCAGAGGAATTTTGGAGGCTCTGGACTGGCTGGGTACCTGACAGGTGCTGTGGGTGGGCAATATTCTCTCTGGAAACCATTAGAGAGCTCGGCGTGGCTTGGGAGAGGAGCCTCCAGCCCTGGTGTTTCTCTAAGTGGGAACTGGGAGATGTCCTCAGGCTGCAGCCTCAGCGCCGCTCAGGCACGGCTGGAAAGGGAAGTGGCCTGGAAGGGCAGTGGGGATCGCTCCCAAGAAACTTGGGAGTTTGAGACCAGTGGGGATTTGTTCCTCCCCACAGCCGTGCGGGACGCAGAGGAGTCCTCCCTCCCGCGCATCGCCCCGCCAGCTGCCTCTCCGTCCAGACAAAGCCCGGTTTCCAGAGAAGCCCACCTACCTGGTAGTTAGCAGAGTCATGTGGCCGCAGCACTTAATTAATAAAGAGCTGATATAAATTCCAGTAAGCATGTGGGGAGGAGGACATCGAGGCAGAGAGCGGTCGCGGCGCTCCCAGCGAGCTCGGTGGAGCAGCGAGCAGCAAGCCCCCTCTCCGCTCGGAGAGGTCAGTGCTTACAACGGGAAGGGTCTGGGGGCATTTGGGGTGCGATACCCACGGCTGTGGGGCTCCCCGCGGCACGGAGAGGGTCTCTCCCGGCAAAGAGCTGGGTGGTTTCGCGGGGATGGGAAGGTGATGCGTGGCTGGCAGAGCTTTGGGCCGCGGGAGCCAGGGCTGGAGCCGAAGGCTGCCAAAGGAGCAGGCACTGAGTTTCACGGGACTCGGATGCTGGCAGCGACTGGGGGTCCCTTTTCTTTGGCTCCCTGCGAGGCCCCCAAAGCCCACAGCCCAACGCTACACCATTTTCCGCGCATGATGCGTCCACTCTCCCCAGCTCACCCAGTCCTTCCCGGGGTGGTCTTCCTCCCCGCCGAGCCCCCTCCAGCCCAGCCTCACCCTCTTCTCAGCATTATGGCTTCACCTTCACCTTCCTCCCTTCTGCTGGGGCCCCTCATGAGCAGGGAGGGGGAAGCAAACCCTGCACTGGGGGCAGGTGAAAACCCTGAGCTGGTCCAACTTGGGGGACATCTCCTGATGACGGTGCCCATGTCCCAGGCAGAGGGGGCTTTGCATCCCAATGCTTTCCATACAGAAGGCACGCAGCTGAGCGTCAACGGGTTTTTCAGGTACCTGGGTGGCACGGAGGGGCTGGAGCCCCCTGCGGGGGTCTTGGCCATGACATCCAGCCCATCGCTGCAGTCCTTAAGCAAAACCACATCCGTGCCTGCTCTCTCTGCCAGCCTCCGCATTCCGCTTTATCTTCTCAAAGCCGCACGTTTGTTTATCGTCCCCAAACCCTGGGGTTTTGTTGCAAAAGGAGTTGCAGCAAAGCAGTTTGTCACTTCCCAGGGACTTTTGGGAAGATTTCTGTCGCAGCTGCTCCAGCTGCAATGTGCGAGCGGTCTCTCGTGTTTCAACCACGTAACGGCGCTCCTGCCTGTTCCCAGCAGTGTTGCGAACCTGCCTGTAAGGCTGGGTGCAGAAACGGGACTCAAGGGCTGGCGGCTGGAGAGCAGGAGGTGAAAGCGGGCTTGGGAGAGGGGAAGCGTTACAGAGGAGCCGGGCAAGAAGCAGGGAGGTGCTGGGCCATGAGCCGTGTTGCCCTCAGCACTGCCGTGGAAAAGGGCACGAGATGGAGCTGCTGGTGGGTATGTGGGCTGCCTCCACCACGGTACTCGGGGACCTCGTGAGATCCCAGCGCTGATTGTTGTCTGCAAGGTCCTGGTCGCACACCCAAGCCCAGATGCATACCAGGCAGTAAATATTAGCTTCTGGTCTTTAAAACTAGCAGCATTTCCACACTTTGTGAGCGCAAGTGCCTGGCAGGAGCCATGTTGGGTGTTTTGGCCACATCCCGTGTATGTGCAGGCGGTGAATGCAGGGCACCACAATGGTCTGGCAGCTGCTGAAGGCTGTGCATGGGGCAGGGAGACCCAGAACTGCTGCAAAACAGATCGACTCTCAGTCCATCCTCTGCTGCTCAGCCCTCTCCATGGTGAGATCACGAACGTGCCTGCACGTGGGGTGCCCCACAGCACCGTGGCACGTGCATTAGCTCTGGAGAGTCCCTGAGAAAAGCTCTCAAGTCCAAAACAGCAAACAGCCCAGCGCGGTGGCTGTGCTGGCAGAGGCTGCCCCTCACTGACGCTACGCTGCTCAGGAGGTGACGGTGGCAGGGTGGCAGTGGGGGCCAGGCCAGGTGGCCAGCAGGCGTGCTGACGCTGGCCAAGACTCCTCTGCGCAGGTTGTCCTGCAGGACCATGCTGAACGTGCTGCTGCTGTGCTGCGGGCTGCTGCAGGGGATCCAGGCCATCCTTACTGCTGACCTCAGCCGCAGCCACCTGCAGAAGGGGAGCGGTGGGCTGGAGGGGACGGACAGAGCCCGCTACTCCAGCCTGCTACGGAAAGTCAAGGAGGTGTCTGCGGAGCCAGCAGGTGAGTCCTACAGCCCCCCTGTCCTCCTGCTGTCCCCCACCAGCCGTTCGTTGGCATGCCCAGGGTCCTAAAGTAGAAGTGGGAACCTTGCGTCTGGGGTGAGATGCAGGGGATCCCCTTAAAGCAGCGCAGCTTCTCCTGTCACTGGCTAGTGAGAGCAGCCTGGCAACCCACAGGGAGTGGGGGGGCTTTTTGGGGGGGCGACACACACGACCACGGGGAGCTGAATCAGCGCAGACCCTCCTAGCAGCCTCCTTGTCCAGCTTCTCTGTATCTCGCAGGAGCTCTCCCCAGGCTGGGGTTTGAGCAGATGGCCCTGGAGGTCCGAGAAGCTGACGGTGACCTCATGCAGAGAGGCGGTGTGCTGGAATCACAGGTAACGCTCCCTGAGCTTTCCCACAGACACCCCAAAGAGCAGGGCAGCCTCAGGCCAGAGCAGCCTTCTCCATGCCCCTGGGGCCAGGGGTAGTTTGGAGCCCAGCGTGGTGCTTTCCTGAGTATCTGCTTGTCACCTGCTGTGAAGCAGCCAGGGCTGGGACAGGCTGAGGCTGCCCAGAGCTGCACGGGGCTCCAGCACTCAAGGAGAGTGGTCCAAGCCTGTACTCCTGCCGCATCTTGCCTGGCTCGGACCCCAGTGCCTGTGTTTGGGCGGAAGGCACAGCACCCTTCACTAAAGTTGGGGTTGCGCTTCAAAATAAATGTGTGCATAAAGGCCTTGAGACATGGTGGAAAAGGTAGTGACGCCTGCAGGGAGCCCATGGGGCTCAGCGGTCATTTTCAACAGCCCAAGCCCGGAGCTGAGCATGACAGAACTCTCTGCTGCTGGCAGCGGCATGTTTCATTCCCCAGCCACTCTTGGCTCTCTCCCATACAATTCTTTATTGCTAGTGTGGTGGTCCAGCACCAACCCTTTCCCTCCTCCTCCTCCTCTTCTCTCTGCCAGGCATCATCCACAGAACTGCAAGCTGCAGGCCGAGAAGAGCGCTCCCCCCGCCGCTGTGTTCGCCTCCTGGAGTCCTGCCTGGGGCATCAGGTCCCCTGCTGCGACCCCTGTGCCACCTGTTACTGCCGCTTCTTCAACGCTTTTTGCTACTGCAGGAAAATCGGCACCAATTTCCCCTGTGGCAAGAACTAGTGCCTGTGCCGCGGGGCTGCCTGCTCCTTGCCCACGCGTGCCGCCTCCTCCTCTGCAGCTCTAATAAACCAGCCGATAGCAAAAGCCATCGCTGAGTGGGAATGGTTCAATGTGTCCACTTGGGATCTCAGGGGAGGGGGATAGCAGCAAGGTGCAGGTTCCTGTACCCAGGTGGGCACCGTGTCCACATGGCCAAGAGTCCAGGGCACCTCCATGTCAAACAAAATGAGGTTATTTTTTTCCAGAGTAGCTCCTTCAGGGTGCTTCCTGGCTAGATGAGTGGTGTCTCAGCAGGAGGGGTGCCCCAGGAGGTGACGTCCCGGCTGCACTGGGAGCTTTACTTGTGTAAAGTATCCTGCCATTATCGCTCATGGTGGCCCAGGGTGGAGACCTGCGAGCTCTTAACCCCAAGGAATCAGTGACCAAGGGGCTACCTGCAGCTAGCGTAGAGCATCGCCTTCTCCACCACAAGGGTGGTAATATGAGTCGGTGAGAAGCCCTAAAAACCCCACAGACGGCGGCCAGAGGCCTAACGCCGAGTGAAAACATGGTTGGGGGGGGGGGTTCAACCTGCGGCCTGGGGATGGAGGAGGCCGCACCGGGGAGTGAGGCGCTTGGGAAGCCGGCAGCTGCGGGGACGGCGGTCCCGGGGCCA